TTCTTTTGCGTAGAGACTGTCCGGTTTGGCCAATGTACATGGCAGAGGGGCATTGCTGGCACATGATGAAACCAATAACACATGATCTAGCCCAGGGTGTCCCCTGTGACACAAAAATTTCCACCATAGACAGTGCCATACCTTCTGCTCGCCAGGTGGCACATCCCAGTTTGCATCTCTTTTGCTGACTTAGGCTATACTGAGTGATGATCCCACATATCCCTGGGTGCAAGACCCACCACCTACCTGTAGCTGCATCACCATATTCAGATCTGGTGTTTTAGCATTTATTTGACAGTGTAGTGAGAGCAGGGGGCCCTTGTTAGAGAATGAAGGGTGTACTTCAAGAGGGTTTGCTTAAAGCAGTGTTTCTCAAACTGGGGTTGCCGCTTATGTAGGGAAAGCCCCTGGTGGGCCGGGCTGTTTACCTGCCCCGTCCACAGGTCCGGCCAATCGCGGCTCCCACTGGCCACAGTTCACCGCTGCAGGCCAATGGGAGCTGCTGGAAGCGGCAGCCAGTATGTCCCTCACCTCGCGCTGCTTCCAGCAGCTCCCATTGGCCCAGAGCAGCGAATCACAGCCAGTGGGAGCCGTGATCGGCCAGACCTGTGGACGGGGCAGGTAAACAAACTGGCCCGGCCCACCAGGGGCTTTCCCTACACAAGCGGCAACCCCAGTTTGAGAAACACCGCTCTTCAGCATCAGTCCTTCGGGGTGACAGAAGAGAAGGGGGGGAGGGGGAAAGAAAGGGGGGGGGGAAGTGCATGTGCTGCATGCACACCTAAATGTCACACAGTTCTCACTATAAGTATAAAATTCTGGTGCAGTTATTGGAGTCAATGGAATTCACATCCATTTACACCAGGGCTAAACTGGGCCTGTATTGTAGTTTGAGTAGCAGTGAGACAAACCACTAGGTAGCCAATCACCTGCAACTGCTTGAAAAGGACCCCTTCACCATCCCAAGAAGGGGTGTTCCAAAACAGCCCCATAATTCAGAAAGTTGTAGCTACCCATCAGATGTCTATCTTCAACACCAGTTCCCTGTACATTTTCTTGGCATCCTGACCCAATCGTAATAGGGTGCCAAGTGGACCTGGCCAGAAAATGCCAATTATTTTTTGCCAGAAATTTTTTGAAATTTTGGAAATCCCCCCTCCTCCCCAAAAAGAATGTCCCCAAAAAAGAATTTTCACTAAAAAGCCCAAATAAATAAAACAAAAAACCCCACCAGCTTTTGATTATTCATGTTTTCTGCTTTCAGCCATTTCTGATTTTCTTGGTCAGAAAGCCATTTCTCATCCAAAAAAGATGTGCCAATGAAAAAATACTGACCAGCTGTCGCCCCAAGCAATAGTGGGAATCTGAGCAGGCTGAGGGCAAGAAGGGGATTGGGACATACTTTCCATCTACTTTTCTGGGGCAAGAGGGGATGATGCCCAATTATGGCTTATTTCTGTCCACCCATCCTCTTCTAGGCAATGGAAAGGTACCTCCCTAGGAAGGTGGACCCAAGAACTGTGAGCCAGGGAAAAGAAGGGCAGCACTGTTAAAGCAGTGCACTCTTTTGAACCGCAAAAGCCCCTTTTTTTGTCTCCAGTATCTAATGCTGCATCCAGCAAAAAGGGAGAAGCACATTAACTGGACAGTTTGGCTAAAATCATCAACAGTGAAATAGTTATCAATGTTATCATTAGACTTCCGAGTGACTACCTATTGTGATGATGGATGGTTCTTGCTCTGATATATCGCCTCAGGCACTCTCTGCAGACTCAGACTGTGCTACAGAAGGCCATGTTTGGAAGGGTTTCTCCTCTGTCAGGAGGACTGGAAATGTCATTTAAAAAAGATCAAAGCATAAATTCAGCAGAAACTTTTCTTATGGGGGAAGGAAAGTTAAGCTTGTAAGAACCTGTGGGACTAACACCTGGGATCATGGGGGCGCTGATGCTTCTGTATCACCATTGGAAGCTTAGACTGGGTTATCGCTAGAGAACCCTGTGACACTAGGCATTACAGAAAGTACCAACCAGCAGGGCCTGAGTGGTGGCCCTTCATAACCCACTGATTGGCTCATGCTGATATATAAACCCGGAAGCCAGCATAAGGAGCTGTCTGACCAATGATACAGATGGCCTGCTTGCTTCTGCTCCAGATCTTACCTTGCTGTGCACCTTGGACTTTGGCTTCTGATCCTGGTTTGTCCCCAATTCTGCTATTTGCCTGCTATCTGTAACCTGGTGCCTGACCCTGACTCCTGGTATCCTGACCTGGCTTGACCCCCAACCCGCTATTCATCTTCTGACTGCAATTTGATAATTGACAATGCATGCAGGCCATCCATGGCTGGGGCCTGACAAAGCTCCACCTATGCCCCAAAGTCCTGCCCTGCTGGCAGAGGTAGTGTTGAGGATCAAGTGGAGAGATTCCTCCCCTGCTCTTCACGGGGGAGGGAAGGGGGAAAAGTCAGGGCAAAGCAGTGATTAGCTAAGGAATGCCAGGTGCTATACAGTTGTTTACGCTAGTGCTTCCACATGTACATCTAGATGGACTTGCCGGAGGGCCTCAGTAGAACTTTGCATCTGTGTGTGATGCTGGAATGAAGCTTCTGTCTGTGTGTGGATATGTGCACATACAACATTTATACTACAGATGGCAAATTACTCTCCATTTATGCAGAGAACTAGGCTATTTTCAGTCATGAGCCAACTGGTTTTTAATAATCATTCCTTGTATCTCATATACTTTAAGGCCAGAAGGGATCATCTAGTCTGAGCTCCTGCACGCTGCAGGCCACAGAACCTCACCCATCCACTCCTATAAAAGACCCCTAACCTCTAACTGAATTACTGAAGTCCTCAAATCATGGTTTAAAGACTTCAAGTTACAGAATATCTTAGAATGTTAGAAGAATAACAGCTCACTTTTCTTGTGGAAAATTTAGTGCCTCCCAAAAGAATTCAGGCAGCAGGAGCAGCTGAGACTAGGGAAGGATAAAATTCCACTTTGGATCAAGTCAAACTGACTCAAACCTTTGCCTGCCTCTTGAAATGAACCATAACCTTTTTCAGATTTATAAAAAATTTTGGGTTGACCAATGAAGAGAGAGGCTGAACAGCTAGACTAAATTCTGGATTTTATATGCTTCAAGGTGTATGGGTGTTTAAAACAGTGGTTTGGCTTCCTGGCTTTCAGGTGTTTGTTTCCATAAATGTTTATTTAGCTGTTTCTAATGGGAAGAGCCGAACTATTAAAACTGTAGTCTCCTACTCATTAACAAGTAAGACACACTTGAAAGTGGAGCTAGTCAGAAAACAAGTTGTCCACCCCACAAAAAGTTTTGCCATCTCAAGTCATCTCAAAATCAGGACCCAAAAAAAAGTCAAAACTTCAAAATTTTCACTAAGTGAAATTCTGAAAACATTTCATTTTAGGTCAATTGAAATGTTTCATTAAGACTTTTTTAAATAAAGTAAATTTCTAAATGAAAAAAAATCAAAAAACTTTACCTTCCAGAAGGGTTGAAATTGGATGTTTTCCCTGTTTGTTTTATAACTATAATTTCATGGAAATTAGATGATTTCATCAAAATGTCACTTTCCAACTGAAAACTGTTTTGACTAACACTTTCTGACTAGCTTCAGTTGAAAGGCAAATTCATGCACCAGCATGGGGACATAGGAGAGGGCACAAGCTGCCTCCTCTATTTAGGGGATCTGGGGCTGCTTTAGCTCTCAGTACAGACTAGGACAACTTTGAAAGCGGCCCTGACTTGAGCCCCTACTTCAATGACCTCTACAGAGCTTTACTTGGGCACAGAATAACCCAGGTGCAAAGTGTGCCCTGGCCACACTCCTCCTGCCCCTTTCCCTCTTCAGCTCCCCGACATCCAGCCCTCAGTCCACTTCAAAATACCCCCTGTTCCAGGGGCTGCTGCCTTATGTAGGAGCTTTCTGCACGGGGCATAGTCCTGCTTAGGGAGGCCTTACACAACCTCAACTCTTTTGTGTCAGCTGAACTGCTTGGAGCCCTAGGACAACAATGATTTGTCCCTCCCATGTCAACTTCTCATAAGTGGGAAGGGAGAGGGAGCTAGGGGTGATGTGCTGGTGTCGGAAGATCCTTGGTGCTGTGGCTAGACAGCTGTATTTTGGCTGAAACAAACAGGAAGATTTTTGAAGGATTTTTAATGCTGGGTTGAATGAAGAAAAAAAAAAAGCAGTATTACCAACCCCGAGTTCAAAAAAGTTAGCAGCACCCCTCCCTCCAAAAAAATCATGAGATTAGCTTTAAGAAAGAAAAGTTATTTTTTAAGTTGGGTTTTTATTTTCCTTCTGCTTTCTGAGCATTTAGGTTACACTGGAGTCACAAACTAAGTTTTTCCCTACAATCCTTAGGGCTAGACATTTCCTTTTTAAAAATAAAAGCTGAGATTCTGATCTGATCACATGCCTCCTGGAGCTGGGGCTTTAAGAGAAACACCAAATATCACGACACTCAGGCTAATTTCAGAACAGCTGGCAATCAGGGCCGGTGCTCTCATTAAGGCAAACTAGGCGGTTGCCTAGGGCGCCAAGATTTGGGGGCACCAAAAAGCAGTGCCCCCAATGTTTCCATAAATGTTTATTTAGCTGTTTCTAATGGGAAGAGCTGAACTATTAAAACTGTAGTCTCCTACTCATTAACAAGTAAGGGCTTGTCTATACTTACGCGCTGGTTCGTTGCGTACCTTAGTTCGATTTGGGGGTTTAGTGTAGACCAAGCCTAAGACACACTTGAAAGTGGAGCTAGTCCTACGCCCCCTCCCTGAGCGCGCGGTTGCCGCTCCACTTCTCCCACCTCCCAGGCTTGCAGCACCAATCAGCTGTTTGGTGCCGCAAGCCTGGGAGGGGAGGAGAATTAGAGCGGGGGCGGTGTGCTCGGGGAGGAGGCGGAGCAGAGGTGAGCTGGGGTGGGGAGCTGCCGCACGGCTCCCCGGGGGGGAGCTGCCACGGGGGGCGGGGCCAAGCTGCCGCGGGGGGGCACCTCAGTGGGGGGGGGCGGGGAGCTGCTGCAGGGCTGCGGGAGTGGCGCAAGGTGGAAGTTTCGCCTAGGGTGCAAAACTTCCTTGCACCGACCCTGCTGGCAACACTTATTCTTGTTCTCCTTTCTTTTCCTCAACTCCCCCTTGTGTTCTTAAATATGCATTGCATTTAACTCACTGCTGTTCTGTTAGCAATTCATACAACAGTAGCCTAAGCAGCATTGGCCCAAGTTTAATGTTAGGAGTAAATAATATTTGTAGACTCATGTCAGTGGAGTGCAGCCACAGACATTCCAGCAAAATCAAAGGGGAGTGGGGGAGAGTACTCTACTGTTGGGTTTCTTTCTTTTTTTAACTAAAGTTTTGTGCTGTGAGTGCTGAAACAGAGACACAATGCTCCATCTCCCAGGCACATGGTACACTGATTGATATCAGATGTACTGAGGCCCAATCAAGAGAAATTTGCATTGTGTTCATCGGGACCCCACCCCTTTCCATTTCACTTTATTTTCAGGCTCAAGGCCCCAGTACAATTATTTCTCCTTTTCCCCCCCATCGTGTTATCCCTGGGTGACAGTGTACCCATCAACTGCCTGCACCGCTTATTTAGAACACCAGGAGTGCACATATGCACACCCTGCCCCGCTCTCTTACCTCAGCCCTGCCTTTGAGGGATTGACCCCTTCTAGGAGTAAGAAGGGAATTCAGGCTTCGTGGCCCATTTACCCAGTGGACTCTGCTGATTTGTAAGGGAGGAAGGAGGCTAGCAGTTATGTTCGACTGAGATCTTGACTCTGGCAGGGATGCTTTAGGACCATCATTTTCAGACTCTCGCTTGCGGAGAGGCAGGTTTTGCCCCTGTTTTTCTCACCCACACATCCCTCTCCACCTCTGATGTTATTAAGACATTAGTAAGGGTGTCCTGGTCTTCTCTAGCAACAGTCTAGTCCCAGCCAATGTCAGGCTCACTCCTCTGTCTCAAGTGTATAAATATTAAGTAATTTGGAAGCTTCATGGACTTGAATGAAATGCCAAGCCAAGCATTAATTCAATGACCCTATACTGTTCTTCTACACAGGGATGGAAATATGAACAGGCCAGACTTTCAGAGGTGCTAAGCACCTGCAGCTCCCACTGACTTCGACTGGGGCATAAGCATTCAGCACATCTGAAGCGAATATCCAAGGGAATTTTTTTTGGAGGGGGGTCATTTAAACCAAGAGGTTCCGATTTTTTGGATAATCTTCCACACTTCAATGCCCTTATCTGGCCTGAACAACCATACCTCTTTGGACTCATCCAGCTGAGAGACTAGCAGGGAGGGAGAGAAAGGCAGCTGCCACTGGACATGGCAAACACTGGGAGGGTGAGGTCTGGGGGTGGGGATGGAGATCCGTGCAGGCAGCTGGTGCAGCTAAATGAAGGACCCAGGGGAACTTAGAGATACCGAAAGGGCTGAGACAGGCAGCTGAGGGATGTAGCAGAGGAAAATGAGAGAGACAGAGAGCTGACTGGGGGAAGCTAATAAAGCTTGCCTGTCAGGGGAACTATATGAAGGGCAGACAGCCAGAGGGAAAAAAGCTCACTCGAGTCCACGGACCCATAACTGGGTTATACAGCTACGTAATCCACTTAAGCTTTGGAATGGTCCTGCTCCCCCTTCCCCATCCCCATCCCCTCCCCCTCATGCTCCTCCTCCCCTCCACCTCTAATATACAGAAATGTTTCCTCGAAGCCTCACAGGAAGTCTTTGACAGCAGTTCAATTTGATTAGAGCTAGCTGCAGAGTTTTCCCAGTGTATCTTGGGAAATACAGCCTCCCATACACCTCAGGAACAAGTAGGATATTGATAAATTCATACTGTGCAGAAGAGCGATTCTGTAGAGAGAAACAGAGGCAAGGGGAATTATTTTTACCTGTATAAAGGTATTAAATGTGGATATTTAATATTGAATAAACTGTAAGTCATTAAATGTTAGTGACAGGAATACTTGTCTTTTCCATTATATGTCATTTACCCTCAGAGAGAGCATAGGAGCTTGAGATGTAAAAGGCCTCTCAGAACGTCTAGTCCACTGCCCTGCAAATGAAGGATTAATTGCATTAAGAGCCACCACTGACGTCAGTGGAATCAGGATTTGGCCTTAATTGCACAAACACAGATCCATTACAATGTTGCAGTCCGAGAGAAACTCTCTCTTCTAAGCCAAGTGCAGTTCTTAATTAAATGGCTTATCCAAATAGTTTTTCCATATGCTATGCAGTGATTGTCCAACTTTCTGTTTAGCTCCTATTACCATAGCACCAGGCGTGTGATCAACACTGCAGGGCCATATCAAAAAGAAGACCCTCATGGGCACGGACCTATCTAATTTAGTACATGGATTGGAGCTAGGGTGACCAGATGTCCCAGTTTTATAGGGACAGTCCTGATTTTTGGGTCTTTTTCTTATATAGGCTCCTATTACCCCCCACCCCCGTCCTGATTTTTCACACTTGCTGTCTGGTCACCCTAATTGGAGCACTGGATTAACAAACTGACCAATGGGGTTGATGTTTATGGGAAGGATGAGGGATACAGTAGCAAGGCATGATCCAAAGCCCACTGAAGTAATGGAAGGACTCCCACTCATTTCAATAGGCTTGGGATCAGACCGGAGGAGAGCCAGATATGCATTTTGCTATGTATGCATCTTGTTAATTTCCTTTAAATTAGTTATTAACGAGCAAAGTCAGGGAAGAAGTCAGGATGAAGAGGCCCAGGAAGAAGTGAATGAGGCAGAATTTATAGGCAAACTAGGTTGCATGAAGGACAGGATCAGGGAAGCTGTTTCAAGCATAAGGCAGGGTGAGAAAAGATGAAGAGACAGCAGTGGGGGTACAGCTACACACTGCAATTAGACACCCACAACTGGCCTGTGCCAGCTGACTTGGGCTAAGGGGCTGTTTAATTGTGGTGTAGATGTTTGGGCTTAGCCTGGAGCCTGAGCTCTGGGATCCTCTCCCCTCACAGGGTGCTAGAGCCGGAGTTCCAGCCTGTGCCCAAATGTCTACACTACAATTAAACAGCCCTTAGCCCAAGCTACATGAGCCCAAGCCAGCTGGCACAGGCCAGCCATGGGTTTTTAATTCTAGTGTAGACGTACCCTAGGAGACCACCAGAGGATTAAGACGGGTCAGTGAGCTAACAGAGTATAGGGTGTGACCAGAGGAGTGGGGGCAGCTGGAGATGGGATATAGTCAAGGACAAAGCTGTGCAGGGCCTCAAGAGGAAGATAAGGAGTTGGCATTTGATATGGAAAGGATGATAGGAGCCAATGGAAGACTCAAGAAGGGGATTATGCATTTGGAGTAGTAAACAAAGATGATTTTAACTACAATGTGTTGGATGGACCTACATGGTGCAGTGTGAGAACTGAGAAGGCAGGAGGTCGCAATAGTAAAGGTGATAGATTCTAATGGTCTTCAATAAAGAGTAATTAAATAATGCCACAATAAAGGCCAGAACATGAACGGGTCCCAAAGAAGTCCTAAAGTCCGTCTAAGGGGAAAAAAGGAAGGGGATCTTACATTACATAGCTACAGGGAATTATTTAACCTATTGTTGTCTGTAATAAGACTATCAGTCAGCCAGGATGGATGTTTATCCCCTAGTCTCCCAGCACAGTGTTTGAAACCATTCATTCCCCAGACACAAACAAAGAATTGTTCTTAGAACCAAGAAGATGAGCCCCTTCCCTTTGCCCCTTCAATCAAAACAGAAAGCACCAAATGAAAAATATAACCCTGGGCAAGAAAAGAGGGCATTTCATGAGAGCCCCAAAATAATAATAATGTTTGCAGACAATGCAAGGGGAGAGTGAAGCAAAACAGAAGAGTAAGATCTTAAAAGACCACCACACAAAAACACAACCAAACATTCCAAGGGCCATCCCCAGGATCCAATGAACTAGTTAACAAATATAGAAGTCAGCACTGGAGGCTCAACTTCAACTGAGCATCAGCAAGGTGTTTAGTGTTGACAGCAGAGCACTGGGAACCAGGACTCCAAGGTTGGCATGACTTCTGTTGGCTGAACTTGAAGTAGGGCAGGTGCCAATTTCAGAAGATGTTTTCATATACTATTGGCTGGAGGGGGGGTCAACATTAGAGATGTCTGAAGAAAACCAGGCATTCCCAAATATCAGGAGAATTGTGAGCAAATCATGACCGTTGGCATTTTTCTGAATGCTGGAAGATCTCAACTCACACTTTTTAAAAATAAGTATCTAGCCATCATGGTTATGGTAAAAACTTGAACATGTGAAGTGATTGGAGTTGAGTGGGAGATAATTCTTGTGGGATGGAAAACCTGTGATTATTGTGAAAATGTTCTCTTTCCACACCAAGACAAAACTGAGGCCTTTCAAAACTTTTCGCAAAAATGGTTCACCCCATTATAGCTCAGTGTTTAGGGCACCCAGCTGAGATGCAGAATGCATGGGAGAACCAGCTGCAAGAATCTGCTCTGCCTGAGAGTAGGGGCTTGAACTTGGCTCTCCCACATCCCCGGTGAGTCTCCTACCCACCAAACTGTAGAGTCTAGAATACTCTTCCCCACATCATGTGAGACTGCAATTGATCAGAAAAGAAGGAGGCTTTTTCCTACAAAAAATTTCAACAAAAGTTTTAAATAACATTTATTTTCAAATAGTTTTTTTCAGGTTTTCAACCAAAAAATGAATACAGAAAAACAGGGTATCATTTTTCAACCAAAATGTGAAAGTTTTCTGAGGATGGAAATGTTTTTGCTAAAATTTCCACTTCACTGAAACACTGTTTTTCATCAGAAAAATGATGACTCAGAAAGTGTTAGAACTAGTCCTATGTCAGGCTATTCTCTCGTGCCCTATTCTCTGTTGCCAGTACACTGATTCCAATATTTTCTGCACCATTTATGTGGTAATCAAATGGTATGTATTGCCAGGGCCGGTGTAACTACTAGGCAAACTAGGCGGCCACTTAGGGCGCCAAGGTTTGGAGGTGCCAAAAAGCGGTGCCCAAACATTTTTTTTTTACACTATTGCTTCCGGCGGGGGGACAAGCCGCTCGCAGCCACGCTAGCACCTACCTCTGCGGGCGTCCTGTACAACCGCGGGCCCTGCCACCTCCCTCCGGCACGCCCCACATTACTGCCCACCTGCGCCCCCCCGCCAGCCCGGAGCCACCTCCTTCCCGAGCCCCCGGGCTGCCGCATCACTCCCTAGCCCACTCCCTCTGGCTCTGGCAGTCCCAGACCCCCTGCCGCTGCAGTGGCTGCTGCCCAAGGACCACTCCGATCTGCAGTCGGCAGGTGACATCAGCCCGCCTGCAGCTGGCCCTATTGACAGCAATGCAGCGGTGGGAGGGGTGCGGGGCTGGGGGAAAGGAAGAGGAGACGGTGGCCACTGGTCAACCTGTGGGGGTGGATCATGGCCCTGCCAGAGGATACAGGGTTAAAGAGCTGCAAAAGTGTAACCGTCCTCAGCATGTGCCACCTTCCAAGGCTTCATCCCCATCCATCCCTGCAGCCCTGTGGAGCAGGTAAATAGATCCCCATTTTGGGGGAAACTGAGGCAGAGAAAAGGGAAGGGACTTGCCCAAGGTCACCCTGGGAATTATTGTCGGAGTCCTGCTTTGAACACAGGAGATCGAGGCTCCTAGTTCTGCGCTGGCTCAGACCATTAGACCAGAGACCTTCAAGCCCTGAGCTCTGCACCTGCCCACACAAGGTATTAATCTGGGATTCAGGGGCAGCACACTGCAAGTTTTTAGTGAAGAAATACGGCTGTCTTGAGCCCTTATGGCTACAAGGAAAATCTTCCAAAGGTGATGGGCATCTAGCCGACACAGTTCTGTCTGCCTGAGTCTGCAGCCTGCCTGGGACAACAGCTCTAGGAAATGCGGCAGTAACTGTTAAGTCTAATTACGACACTGTCAGAGCCAGATTTTCATATAACATGGGTGCCCAGTTGCGTGGTGCACAACCACTGCAAGTGTGCAAGCAACTCAGGTTAAGTGCAGCTGAACCCTGGGCAGGCTGCAGCACCCAAGTGATTTTTGTTCTCCCACTGAATGACAGCAGATGCACCAGTAACTTTACTAGGTAGAAGTTTAGTGACCACATTAGGGCCATGTCCTTCCCACTCCCAGCATTGGGCCAACTGCCCCTCACCATTCTCCTGATTGCTTGTATTATTATTGATGGGAGATCTGCTGTGGATTGAGGGGTGTATATGGACCTGCCTTTGCAGGCTCAGTCCTGGCCCAGCAGTCAAAATAAATTGCTCTGAGTTTCAGAAGTACTGAGAACTCTGGAGTTCCCACAGACATCAGGGGAACCGCAGGGCTCAGCATCTCTGAAAATCAGGCCCATAATGACACTGACGCCTCTGCCCTGGGCCAGAGCTCTCTGAGCAAGGGGCTTCAGCAGCGATTGGCGTGGGGCAGAGTAAAGCAACCAGGGCAGTCATGATGGAGGCTGGAACTCTGTCCTTGCCTCATACCTGTGGGGAAGACAGGCTTTCAGACACCTCCTCCTGCCTGCATTGCACTTTCCAGCCCAGGAGCAAGGAACCATTTCACACCTTAGCGCTGGAGGGAGCTGAAGTCATCCAGTGAGTTGGTGCCAGGGTGGAGAATAGAAGCCAGATCCCGACTCCCAGCTCTGTGCTCTGATCCCCAAAACAGCCCTTTCCAGATCCATGGGGGGCAGGGGGGGGAAGACTGAGACCCAAGGCCATTTATTTTCATTAAATATGTAGACTAAATAATGAAATTAATAAATTTTCAAGCTGAACATGTATTAATTCTAATGAACAATGCCACATTATGCAGTATTCGTTTTTGAAAGTTTATAATAAGCGATGCTCTGGGAGAAGGGGAAGGGGGGGCAAGGTGGAAGTTTCACCTAGGGCACAAAATATCCTTGCACCGGCCCTGTGTATTGCACATACATGACAACACATGTGAACAGTTTGTATGCTTACCCAAAAAGAACAACTACAAATCGATCAAAATGTAGGGCTCCAGCATAACAATGCCAATTGTCCTTTCAGTTCCTGTAACAGCTGGAACAGAAAGAGAACAAAAGGACAGTGGGATTGGGTCAACACACACAAGCATTTTAGAGTAAGTACACTCTGCTGTTGAACATTAAACCTTTGGTGCTAGGAGGCTTTCTTGGTGCTTTGATCCTCATTCTTTTTTGCTTAATTAGTTCAGCCTCATCATTCTCATGATGTGATGCAACACTTGCAGAAGAAAGGGGTTCCTCACTACCAGAGATAATTATTAGATTTCACGATGTATTCCCTCTTTATGGGACCGGAATAATTTAACCCATATAATAAATACGTGTATACACAAAGCCAATAGAGAATTATGAATTTGAAATTGGCATTACAAGCTAGACAAGCAGGGCCAAGGTACAAACAGGACAAAAAGTTTTGGGGCTCTTGTCATCGGTAGATGCAATAGATCAAGCATCTGCTCAGGCTAGGGCTTCCCAGCATATTTGGAATTCAAGCCCTCATGTCCATTTATTGTTTCTGATTCAATAGTAAATTGATCTGTAATGCGATATGGTCTTTGTCAACTCTCTCCTTTTTCCCAGGGCTAGGCAGTTTTCCCTCACTGCCTTTTAATGGTAAGTCTTGTCTCATTTCTAATAATTGGGCGGGGGGAATCTCTCACACTCCCTCATTTTAGGCAGAGAGAAAGATTTTCTTGTTCAATTTCAACCTCTCCTCCATCAGTCTGTTGCACACTACCTCTAGTTTATGATCACTGATTCTGTATTTGGTAAGAATCTGGCTGAGTTTGGCACATTTCATTGGGGTGAGGTCATTTGCTACAGTGAAGACTTTCTGTAGGGATCTGTAGCAGCCAGGTTGATTCCTGATTTTAATCCGTTCTTCCCAGTACCACACACATTGTTGCTTTAGGTTTTTATCTAGTGTTTTGAGTACCATTCCTTTTGTTTTGGTAAGGTTATTTGCTTCACGGCCCTAGAGATTGGTGTTGCTTAGCCTTGCAGTTTTAGAGGGTTGGATTATACTTTCATTAAGTTAGTCTTTTTTTTATCCTCACTGGCTCTGTGGTGGAGGGAGCATTTGCAGCATTGGTCAAGCCAACACCAGAAACTCAGTGTTCTTTTTCATACATTGAAAAGATATATGTGCGCTCTCCACATGCATGTAACAAACCTATAGCAATGCCTGCCCTGATGTCACACCATTTTATGTTTTCAGTTTACTTCAGTGAGGCACATGGAATATATCATGTGATGTAGAACGAGAGGAGATAATGCCATATGAAAATCTCTCTGCAGCCAATTATGCCTACATCCCAACCCTACGTTCGTTGAGTTCCTGTCATACAAAGTAGACTGATGCACAGTAGAAAGTAAACAGATACTGAAGAACTACTCAAATTTTATCTTGCCACATATTATATGGCCCTGAGTTTGTGGGAGAGATGGGCAAGAGGAAAAAAAGAAATGTCTGTTTGACAGGGGCTTTGGACTCAAAAGGATGAATCCCTTTGCTTGTGGGTATGTGATGGGGAGGGGGTATATGAGATAATCTCTCTTGCTTTACTCCTCCCCTCCCCCATCTCTCTTTCTGTGTGGTTGTGTGTGCACGCATGCCTCTCTCTCCAGGGAAATGACTCACACCCGCTCTTCCCTTGATATTATCATTCCCCATCAGAAGCATACAGTCACTATAATGTCAGGCAAGCTGTTCTATGTTAGATCCCTGCATCACTTACATCTGCTCCTTACCCTGTTGGATTCAAATCTATGGAAGGAGGTGGTAGGGAAGAGATCTCCCTAGTAACTAAGCATAGAGTCCTGCAATCCAGTAACCTCTGTGTGGCATTCTGTCCAGATGTCTTCCTGGGCTTTCGAGTCCTTCCGCCTGGTGGGAAATCCATTTCACAGAGAGTCAAGAAATTGGTCCCTGAGTATTCCCATTGTTAGAGAGGTGCTATTTTCTGAGGGCCCCAGGTAAAACATTCCCCAACAATTAACATCAGAGCCTCAAATAGCTTGACGACTTCTCATTTCCAGAGGACTGACTCCCTTCTTCTGCATTTACTTTCTTCCACTCTCTCTCCCACCCTACTTAAAAACATACCTTTTTGCATGTGAATCACTGCATTATCCTTCTCTCTAGTGCTTTCCACCCAAGGATCCCCAAAGAGTTTTGTGAACATTAAAGAATTAAAAGTCCTGACCCCTCCATCAGGCAGGCAATAATTATCACCCTCATTTACAAACTGGGAAACTAAAGGCACAGGAAGGTTAAGTCCCTTACCCAAGGGTAGGTATGGAATCAGCAGCAGAGCAAGGAAGAGAACTGGACTCTCAATTCTGAGTTTTCAATCACAAGACCACTCTTCACCTCTACCAAAAGGATGGGTATAAGCTGGCGTGGCCATCCCTCCACGTCTGCTTCTGAGGGAGGCCACACCTCCTCGCTACAATGAGCAAACATCTAACCTTAGTTCAGCTCCATGAGCATTTGCATCCCAGAATTTCACTTGGAGTTTCAGGATCAAATGGTCACAAAGAGTTGAAATGACATTCAGTCAAGATGGCCCAGTTAACTGGTTTTGCCTCAAAAAACATGCAACTCCCATATGATTCAATGTAAAACTATATTTTTCCCCCCAAGTTCCTGAACCCCAGGGAAGCTTCCAGAGACCTGGAGCTAAAGTCATTGAAACATGGCACAGAACAAGTTTCAAGTGGTTTCGAAATTCATTGAGAACATTTTGCCCACAACTACTCCCTGCTATTATGTTATAGCTGTGTTCCCAAAGTGCCCATTACTTAGGGTGACCAGATGTCCTGATTTTATAGGGACAATCCCAACATTCAGGACTTTGTCTTATATAGATGCCTATTTCCCCCAACTCCCTGTCCTGATTTTGCACACCTGCTATCTCGTCACGAACATCATTGCAGTATCTGGTGCTCTTTACAGTTAGTACTGAGTCCAAGGAATAGCCATGAAGGAATATGACTCTCCTCTCCATATAGCCATTCAGCACTTGCCTATGTGCTTGGATACTGTAGTTATGTGTTCTCTAGTATACTAGACACACAGGTAGCACTTACAACCTGAAGGGTCTGATGATTCCCCTCTCTTTATGGATATTCAGCACTTGTCTATGTAGTGTACTTCCAAAGCACACATAACTACAGTATCCAAGCAATAGACAGGTAGCCTAATAACCTGAAGGGTCTGATTACAAAAAGGAGTCACAGTGACTTCTAGAGGTTTGCCTCAGGAGGGAAGTCTTGCGCCATGCCCTGCAGGTTACAAGGCTGATCTCCATTGGAAGTCAATCCCATAGTGGCAGGCCCTTCCTGGAGAAAGCTCTTGCTCCTAAAAGGTCCTTGCTGGGCTTCATCAATGGGCGTATCCCTACAAATCACAGCCACTACTTCGGGGCTTGGGGAAAGGGAAAGACTAAGACAGCCAGACATCAGCATGTTTGACTTTATTTTCTGAAATACTGAGCACCCATCACTCAGTGGGCTAATAGGAACTTCAGGTGCCCAGCACCTCTGAAAAAAGATCAAGTTCTGTCAAGGCTGAATCCCCACTCTGTCACTCCAAGTGCAGAAAGGGGAGGCCCACAAGGATCCTAAAAATTAATACTTGCCACTCCAAGCTTGTATTAAACTCCCAAGGTTACAGCTTTTCTCTGACCTTGGCTTGGTAAATGCTGCCACCACCCAAATGCAAAAAACCACCTTGGACCCAAGAAGGAGCACTTGGGAATTCCTCCCTGTGGGGTACCCTCAAGCCTTTTCACCCCCCTCCAGGGAAGAGCGGAGAAAGAAAACAAAGGAAATTAGCTGTGGCCATCAGCTAATTAAACAACATATGCACAAACCTCTTAGGACACCAAAAATCTAATCCGGTTATTAAAAAGGGTAAATATTATTAAAAACAAAAAGAAAGAAAATACATCTGGAACTTAGGCTTTTGCTAGATTTTAAAAGAGTAATTCCAAAAATTAAGTACCCAAAATAGCTTTCTTGGGGTTCAGCTTAAAGGTTACAAGCAAACAAAGCATCTGGGGTTAACACAGAGGAGATCCGCAAGTCAAAATAAGAAATAAACCTGTTAGCGTCTAACTAAACATTCCCTATCCAAATTATTTCTTCTAGGTATGGAAAATACTTTTTCATACCTGGTTCAAACCTTATACAGCATTTTTGCTTATAGCATTGCTGCTCCGTCACTGCTTCTCCTGAGAACAACAGACGAAGGGAAAGTTTCTTTCCCATTTTAAAAAGTTGTAGCTTTCCCATTGGCTCTTTTGGTCAGGTGCCCACTTCCTTTTCTTTTACTTGTGGACTTGTTAACCCTTTACAGGTAAAGCAAGCAGAGAACAGCTACCAAGAGGGATTTTACAGCTGTCTGGCTGGGTGTCTATCAAAGGGAGCTACGCCCCCCTTCATTTATCACAAGCTCTTAGGGCTCTATTGGTGTGGACCAGAACTTGGAAATAATTAGGAGAAAAAAAATACGACTTCTCCTTAACAGGCAGATTTGACCAGCCTTTTACATTAAAGCCACCAGCAGCTACCTGTAAAATAAAATGGCATCCATAGCTGTGTTTCTCTCTGCTTTAATTTTCCACAGAAGAGATGCTACTGAGCTCATCCACTGGGCCTTCCCAGTGACAGTGCTGGCAGTATTTGGGGGACATAGTGCAGGAGAAGCTCAGGTCAGGTTTCTGAGGGGGCCTATAGGGTGACACAAAGCAAGTGGTGTATGTAGGGTGACCAGATAGCAAGTGTGAAAAACTGGGACAGGGTGTGTGTGTGTGTGTGGGGGGGGAGTAATAGGAGCCTATTTAGGAAAAAGCCCCAAATATCAGAACTGTCCCTATAAAAATCGGGACATCTGGTCACCCTAGATGTGTGTGCTTTTCCTTCCAGAGTTTTTGTTCTAAGCCTCTGCTTGGTTTAATCTCTCATTGTTTCAGGTGTCAGCAGAAGGCCTAATCAAAGGCCTGTTGAATAACCACAGAGCATCTCTGTATTAGTGGTGCAATTCATTAACCACCCGCCGAGCTCTTCTGCTTTCTTGTCTGTATCCAGGGCCGGCTCCAGGCACCAGTTTAACAAACAGGTGCTTGGGGCGGCCAAAGGAGAGGGGCGGCACCTGCGGCAATTCGGGGGCGGCAGGTCCCTCACTCCCTCTAGGAGCGAAGGACCTGCCGCTGAACTGCTGCTGCCGATCGTGGCTTTTTTTGGGGGGGGGGGTGCTTGGGGCGGCAGAAATGCTGGAGCCAGCCCTGTCTCTATCTCCCAGATGTTTATCTTTCTCTCCCTATCAATTTGGCTAATTTATTGCCTACCTGTCTTCTCTGGCTTCCTGCTCCCTGAAACGGCACTCTGATGTATCACTTTCTACATTTAGTTATTCTATCATTGATCAGATCAGTCATTTGGCAGCTTGCAGGTTCTGCCCAGTGCCTTCATTTAGTCTGATAAGAGTAATACTTAGCACTTGTGTAGCCCCTTTCTAGCTGAGGGTCTCCAAACACTTCATGAAGGTCAATGGGTGTCATTACTCCCATCTCACATATGTGGAAACTAAGGCAGAGAGAGACAATAAGTGTCTCGCTCACACAGTCACATACAGCATCTGTGGCAGTGGCTGCAGCAGGGTCAGGTCTCTTCCTGACTCCCAGCCCACAATCTCCAGCAGACTACACCACAGAAGCAGTTAGTACCATGCTTTTTGTCACACTATCCAGCCACACAGCCTGTAAAGTTTAAAGGGCCTTTAAACAATTGCACTGGTGAAGAGATACATAGTGCTGTTACAGAGATTGCTAGGCAAGTGTTGGGCTGGCAGAACTACTGAGCTCACATACATAGTCAGACTGTGTCCCCTGGAACCCAGCAGAATCCTAGTTACATTAATATTTTATATATTATATAGTGCCACTAAGCTGTGTTGGTGCACTAGACCTGCAGTATCCAAAAGCTGGACAGGTCCCTAAAACTCCAGCCTGACCCTGGCACGTTATGCGCTTGCTGCTAGATTAATCTCAGATCCGATTTCCCTGCCACGAGCACCACAGACCCAAACATTTTCCATTCTCCACCCTCTCACTTACAGGGCCTTTAAATTTTTAATAAAATGTGATTGATTAACGTTTACATGCAAAAACAAAAGCGTCTATCGAGCTGCACTTACGCGAATCAATGTTTCCAAGAAACCCAAAGCCCCAGCCCAGTGAAGATGGAGCCTTGCCTTTGACTAGTAACTTTTCATGCTATGCCCTGGCTTCTTTGGGTTAACATCTTTTGGATGATGTTTTAACAGGCCAGGGTTAAACATGATCCCCGCAACCTCAATTTCTACCCAGTATCCTCCTCTGATCCCATGTGTGGAAGTGAGAAAGTGGCCTGGGTCTCTCTTTGGAAAGGAAGAGAAAGAAGGGTCATTCAGGGTGTGAGGAGAAGGGGGGAGAAAAATTCAAGCCCTCTTAGATTTATCAGGGATGCAGAGGAAAGCAACATCTTTTCAATGGCTAGTAATCAAAGACCATAATTTACTCTCCCGCATGAAGTCTCACGGAAGGGGAGAACTTACCTGGAAGATCAATTACTTCTATTGAACAGCTTCATCACCTTGGCAACATAGGAGGAGGCAGAGGCTTTGGCCTACAAAATAACTATAGGCTGAGGCGCCGTTGATAATGGTTCCAAAGACTCAGGGATCTCCAGCTATGTGTGCATGCCTGAGGACCTGTACAGCATACCCACAAGTCTCTGGGATCTCTCTCTCTCTCACACACACAAGTAAATCCCTCCAGACACCCTCTTAACTCCCACTGCATGCTGCCATCGACACCCCACTAGTAGTGCACTCAAGTGATTCCTCCAGTAGGATTTACAGGATGTGCATACATAAAGTCATTAGATTACATACAAGGCCCTCACCCTTTAGACTGCACCAATTTTCATACATTTGTTTCAGATATTTTCTCCAGGTAGTAGTTAGCTTGGATGGTTGGAAATGGGACACAGACCTTTTTACCTCAAGGTGACAGTTATGAATTTGGCCCGAGTCAGTAGAGGCCAACAGTTGGTGCCATCTGGTAGAGGTTTGGTGGTCTGTGAGAAATGACCTGGTGATTCTCAGGATAGCATTTTCCAAAGTGATGTAAGGCGCTTAATTCCCATTTTCAAAAGTGATTTAGGCACTTAGGAGCATGTTGCAGAGACTTTCAAGAGATTTAGGAGCCTACGTGCCTAAACCTTTTTGGAAAGAGGTCTATTTTTTTTTAAATGGATAAGTGTCCACGTCACAAGAACTGATTCAATATGAGTAACTTAAGTGACAGCTCTATTGAAGGGGCCAAGAAGTGAATGCATCATGAAGCCTGAACTCCCTTCTCACCTCCAGAGATAGAGTAAAGGGACATTGGTGGGACACTATGGAGCAGCATGCACTGTGCAGCAGCAGGCAATGCTGTTTCAGAGATAACAAACCAACTTTAATCTCCACGGTTATTATATTAATCCAGCACCTTTCATCAATGCTAATTTCACCTTTTCCCCCCATAAAGAAAGACAGACATTTCTAATAGAGAGGCAAACACAACTAGCACAAAGTGGAGCAGAACTAATATGTTTCGTGTAGTTGCTTATTTTATTATTCCTCGGAGATGTATTATTTTAACTGGTTTATTTATGGTACTTGAAGTTAAAGATTCCTTTGTCCTTAGAATTTAAATAAACTGTTGCAGAGTGAGATTTCGGAGTGAGGTGGGCAATTAATCAGGTATTTGTCAAAACAGCCTCCTGGTATTTTTTTTAAATGCCTTTTCAGACCAATATATATATATATACTACAAAACCTCTGCTCGTATCAGACTCCATCTGAGTGGCTTGTAGGGGTCAGACGAGTATTTTGGAACAATCAGAGAAGAGACTGGCCCCAGAGAATCCATTCTGCGCTTTACACCAAGCCAAGCGCATACTGGAGCAGCGTTTTGGGGAGTTTAATGAGTGCTGCATGGATCCTCACAGTGCAGATATGATCAATAAAGCGAATCATTCTGTACCTCATTCTTGAGGCTCTGTGCTGTGAATTAAGGACCTCCTAGTCAGCAGACAACAGGACTCTCAAAGTTGTTGCTGGAAATCCTCCAAAATGAAGGGGTTACCCCCTTCTCCCCTTCCTTTAGTACAGTACAATAAAGCAATTTAAATAGGTTTGAAAGGAAACGGCTGCATGTAATACTCCTAGACATAATACACAATAACCTAGATTTTTAAGTGTACCACGTCTTATATTTAGCTATGAAATGCCACATGCACCCATGGTGCTGAGAGATTTTGGGGCTATTTTTTTGGCACAGTAGAAATAAAAATAAAAAAAAATCCCTAAAAGGTGCTAAACACCAGCAATTCCAATTGACGTCAGTGGCAGCTGTAGTAGCATAGTGCCACTCAGACTTTAGCCTAATAATAATACACTTGGGACAACACCTTTCATCCCAGAGATCTCAAAGCACTTCACCAACATTAATCAAGCCCCATAAAGTCCAGGGTGGGCAGTAGGACTGGTTTTGTCATACGTAGAGAACAAGGAGTAGCTTAGAGCTTCAAAAATATTTCAGTAACGCTGTATGGGTGACTACATGCTGAAAGGAAATCATTTTTCTCACTAGCTTATGGCAGCAGAACCCCTAGAGCCAGACACTATTCTAATTTTGCAGATAGGCAAACTGAGGCACAGAGACCTGAAATGATTTGCCCAACGTTACCAAGTGACTCAGTAGCAGAGCTGGGAAGAGAACTGTAGTCAGTCCAGCTGCCTTCTATGCACCTCTCATGGCCTAGGGTCACACTGAGACTACCTGCCTTAGTGTCGTCTCTTGGACTGTTCAAATAAACTTCACTTCAGGCTTTGTATTGGTCAAAAACCACCCCTCCTTGGGGACTGGTTTTACTAATATAAAATATGCTGTGACTAAAACTCAATATCCCAAAACAATGTCCATTCATAAGTCCAGACAACCCAAGGTTTCTCTTCCTCCTCCCCCCAAGCCTTCGTGTCTGGCATGTTTTCCTCACTCTGCAGATTCTACCACAGCTTCCCAAGATTTCCCCTTCGCTGCAGCTTCCTGCTCCTTTTATGTTGGAATCACGGGATTCCCCTCAGGTGGGGCTCATCCTGTAATGGCTTAGCCCCAAGCTCTCCAGCCCATGGAGCAAGACACCCTGTTGCAAGAATCCAGGAATCCTGACTCCTATTCCTCTACTCTCACTACCTGAGA